CGGGCTTCGCACGGCGACGGGGGCGTGACGGCGGCCTGCTGCGAGCGGTTGCGCGGGGGCACAGGAGCTGAGGGACCGGACGGTCGGCGGTGGCCTGCTGCCGACGCAGGAGAAGCGGTCGACGGCAGCGCGGACAGGGAGAGCTACGGTCGACGACGGCGCAGGAGGCAGAGACAGAGCGCGCGCGCGAGAGAGAGAGAGAGTTGCAGCCGCGGGTTTTGAATCAATGCTCGGCGCCAAGATCTGTGGCGCCGAGGTGTCGTCCACGTGAACGCCGTTTGCTGTGCTCGGCCAGGCAGCTCGACGCCAAGATCTGTGGCGCCGAGGTTGGCGCCAAGATCTGTGGCGCCGAGGTGCCGGCCACGTGAACGCCACCTAGGATGGCCTGCTGTGCTCGGCCAGGCACCTCGGCGCCAAGATCTATGGCGTCAAGACGTGTTACCTCGGTGCCATGATTACTGGCGCCGACTCCCAGGGTCCAAAGATGAGTTTAAGTCTCCCAGGGGGGCAAACATAAATTTTCTTCAAAAAAAGGTCAAATTGTAAAAAAATTAGGGGCTTTTGACGTCCAAGAGCTCTTCTGTCTATGAGAGCGACCAACCTGCAACTTATCTGCGCCGTCCACGGAAGCCTTTGCTACCCTCAAGACCATGAATCTCTACTATATTTCTACTATAAGGACCAATCAAAACTATACTGGATTCAAAAAAAAACGTCCCTCACTGAGAGGCTTCAACCATTCTATGCCAACAAAAATGTACTCAGGATTACAACATCATTAAAATTTATGGCTCCTAATCCTTCCTTAAAAGCTTCAACTTGATCCGATGGCGAACGTTCTTCGGATCTCCCACCCCAAGGCTTTAGCGCTCGCCTCACACATCCTGCACACCACCTGCATGACTACACCGCATGAGACCCAATATCGAATCCTAGACTCACCAAAAAAATGTCATTGGGGGCAAAGAGCCAAATAAAGAGCATATGAGGACGACGGGAAGGGAAGGAAACAATTGTGCCTCCGATATAGACGGGATGCCGGGCGTAGCAACGAAGCCGACGGTTGGTTAAAGGAAATCAATCTCAATCCCACCAGTTGAGGGGGCGATTGATTCATGTTTTCTCTTGGTGCCTTTTTGCTTGACGCTGAAGGAAGGTTCATGTTTCCTTTTGTTTCCTTTTCTCTTTTGCTTGATCATGAAATGACTTGATGGACGTTGAATTTTTGGTGAAAAAACAAGTCGGAGAAACCGCCCCTGACATCTCTGCCTGCGTGCGGTTCCGATCCTGCCGGCCGCCACTACCGCCTGCACGCCGCCTGCCCGTGCCGCAGCCTCGCCGTCCTGGCCGGCCAAGACGTAGAGGAACGCCGCTGGAGCCCCGCACGTTCACCGCTGCCTGAGCCCCGCAGGAGGGTTTGCAGCGCCGCGCCGCGCTGGATGCTCGCCCTGACGCTCCGCCATCAAATCCAACTACTGTTTGCCGCGTCGGAAGCTGCTCCGACAATCCATGCCCGCTCGCCCGCCGTCGAAGCCCGCCGGCCCCTCGCCGTCGAAGCCAGCTGCTGTTCACCGCGCCGGAAGCCGCTCCGACGATCCGCAGTCGCTTGCCCGCCGGCCGCTCGCCCTGACGCTCCGGCGGCGAACCCGCGGTGCAGCGCCCCGGAAGGCCGCGCGCCCGCCGTCGAACCCGCACCACGCCGCCTGCTCGTGCTGCTCAGCTTCCAGGAGCGGTCGGATAGTCCAGCATTGTCGGACTCAGCTTCGGGTAGGTGATATGGCTGTTTAAACTGAAGACTTAATTTAGAAGAATTTAAAAGGTTTAATTCGAAATTTCTGCCTGCTGTTTACACCATGAACATGCACAAATAGAAGTAATCCACATCCTTTACAAGTAGTCAAATCATTTTCTTGTTGTACATGCAAACAAAGCATCATCAACAGGCTACCAGTTGTACCATCACATGATTCAGCAGAAAATCTTACTGTAGTTGGATTTGAGATTGTTTACTGTTGAGTAACTCCTATTTTTATATGGTTTGCATTGAATAGATCAGCCTTCCTCGATCAGAGGTATGTGACGAAGGTTGAGCTATTTAGTATCAGGTCAACCTGGAGTTAATATGTGGCATATAGTGTTTTTTTTGTTTGGGTTTAGTAAGCGTAATTTTTGGGACAAATATAGTATTACGAAACTATGTAGTTGTTTTTATAAGATCAAACTATGTAGTTACCGAACAGCTATAGAACTTAGCAGTTCGGTAGTTATAACAAATGGTTACAAAAGATAAGCCGATATGATCTCGATCTCTATTGTAGTCTGAAAGAAGATATGAGTCGATAAGATCTTGATGTCTACTTAATTTGCAAGACAGATAAATTTGCGAGAGCACCGCACTGTCGCCGAGTATGTGAAGAAGGTATGCATCCTGGATAGAAGACAGCAACCCTACCACCATCAACTGGAGAAGCCATCGAACCCAATCATACCCAACATTGTCCTTAGGGTTTATGGTTTTATGTTATTATTTTCTAATAAAGCCTTCATCTTCTGTTATTATATTTCATGCGAATTAACTTCTTGCTATTGCGAGCTTTCTAAATTGATTTGATCATTAAAATAATATTATATATATGTTGATAGCACATCCTGATATTTGTGCTGCCGGTGTGACGCTGGGTATTTGAAAAAAACATGTTAATTGCAATCACAGATATCTGATAATGTCTACGCCGAGAGATACACCAGCTGTGCTAAGCGATATCACCAACAACCACGTCATAGGTATGCTTTAGATTAGCAAGATGTATACAGCAGTGGAAACAATATCTTTAGGTGATGTCTTCCTCGTTGACTATATGAACGATCGGCTACTGTAGATGATGCCATGCAAATGAATGTTTTGCTAGCTTCCCTGAAGATCTCTGAGACATGTTTAATGACTTAGGCAGATTGTAAATTACATGGTTAATGCGATAAATTACTTTATTATGCCTTGTCGTGCATAAGTGTTTTCCGGATTGTAAACATGGTCATATAATTGTGTGAAAGTTAAACTCTAGAAAAAATAATTATCGTTTAGTTGTTTTCATGTGCATCCTTGAAATAAAGCCGTGGCGTTAGCACGGGCACTATACTAACTAGTGGAAATAGTGCGCCTGGTCGGGATGGATTCAGGCCAAGTTTCTATATGGCTACGGCCCACGGTTAAACATCATGTCATGGATTTGATGCATGCCTTTTACCAATCCTCAGTGCAATTGGAAAGAATCAACAGATCTTTCATGGTGATGCTGCCGAAGAAGATTGGTGCTATTACCGTTGATGCATTCAGACCGATTTGCCTTCAAAACTGCTGTACCAAGATTATTGCCAAAGTGTTAATCCAACGTCTACATAGGGAGATTTGTAGACTTAGATTTGTAGACTCATTGGCAGCAATCAAACAGGATTCCTGCCGTGCCGTGACGCTCAATTTATGAAACCTTCATGTGTATGCAGTTGAATTAGCTCAATATTGCAGCAAGATGAAGGCTCCGGCTTTGGTAATAAAATTGGATTTTGGAAGGCCTTTGATACGCAGCGCTGGTGTGGCTGGATTCAGAACTTAGGCCCTGTTTGGTCTGCTTGCGCAGCTAACCGTGCTCAACAGAGGCGTGCCACAAGTGCGGCGAACTAATCGTCTGCCACACTTTTGGCGAACTGCGGCACATATTTTAACTGCAAAACAACACGTAGGACTACGGCGCGCCTAGGTTGAGGCGTGAAGCAAACAACATCTACAGCGTTGTAGCATGTCGGAAGTTAGCGCGGCGAGTCGTGGATACGATCCAAACATGCCCTTACTAGCCACATCAAAATCGACAGTTTTGGTGATGGATGCCCGGGCCCTTGGAGCAACTGCAGAGGCCCGCGTCAAGCGACCTATTATCGCCTTATATGTTTCTTTTGGTGGAAGACGCTCTTCAGAATCTAGTCAGTCATGTTGTTCGGCATCCAGTTGATTTGGTTCATCTTTGGCTAGTTCTCTAAAAATATGGTATCGGAGCAGGCTTTTTCGGTTAGAGTTAAGGTTAGCTCGTCCCCGCCGTCGAGCTCCTGCCGCTGGCGTAGCTCGTCTTGCCCGTCATCGCCTGGTCCCGCCTTTGCTTGGTCGTGGCCCGACCGCGGCTTTCCTGTGCAGCGGCACGACTTCTCCTATGTGGTGCCAGCTGACGAAACCGCTTGTTCGCCGTTGCTCCTGCTCGTGGCCCACTCACCCTGCTCGTCGATGAGGCCCTCCTCCTGAGTGCACGGGTTTCTGCTTGCTGACACTTTTTCTCACACAGCACCGCTTTCGCGCCATGCTTTCTCCCGAGCGCCCTACTCACGCTCGTGCCCTACACGGCCCACTCTCACTCTCGCCGGCGCGGCTCCATCTAATGCCGCTGCTCCGGTGTGCCGCTTCTTCTGCGTCCTGTCGCGCCCACACTCGTGCCTGCGCACGTATGCTCTGCTCCCTATTTCTGGTGTTGAGCTTTAATTTGGGTAAGAAAAAAAGAGAGGATGGAATCCTCTCCAGCTTCTTTATGTGTTGGTGGTGCTCAAGTTCCATATTGTCAAGTGCTTTTCAATGGCACCAATTATTGTGATTGGATTCCTCGTATGCGGTTGCATATGCGTGGTCTTTGACTTTGAGAGTTTCTTAGTGGTGAGGTGCCTTGTCCAGCCTTGCCTACTCCTCTAGTGCAGCTGGTGATTCCTGCACGAACCGCAGATGCTGATCAAAAGAAGCTCCGAGAAGCTGCCACGTAATGAAGCACAGGACTCCATGGAGACAATTAACCAAGCAAGCAACCGAAAAGTGATACTCCCTGTTTATTACACACGCGTACATCGATCGAAGCTAAGCTTGCTGCTCCATGTTTATTACACCCCACCCAGCACAACCATGGCGGCACAATAATAACGACACACTTGTTACTACAACAAATTATTAACAGTATCATATAATGACACTTTCACAGCAGGTTGCTCGACACCGATGATGATGGAGCTGCTGGCTGCTGCTCCGGCCGGTCGGCGACGAGGACTGCGAAGAGGCCCATGACGCCCGTGTGCCGCCGCTCGCTGCTGTAGTTGGACACGACGGTGAGAACCTCGCCGTCGCGCACTCTGACGGTGCCCAGCTTCGGGTAGCACGTCGTCATGCCGACGACGTAGCCCGCCTCGTCGCCGGCCTCCACTCCACCGCCGTAGATCGGGGTCGACTTGCACAGCAGACGCCCGTCCTGCATGCATGTGACCAAGTCGTACGTCGTCGTCGTCGTTAACCAAGTTTTTTTTTTCTTCCCTATAAAGTTAATTTACGGTGTAATATATACCTGGCCATGCAAGGAAGAACCAATGCCACCTGCATGCTGGTGCGCGACGGCGTACACGAGGTCGCCTCCACGCGGCAGCACCTGCTTGGTCGCCTTCACGTGCACGCGCGCAGTCGCTCTTGGCTCGCTTCTCTGTTGCGCTGCACTCCTCCACGTCGTACTCAACCATGCAACCCACAGGCATGGCTCTATGAGTGACATCAAATATATAAATCCTGACCGGCACAACGGCGGCGGCGGCGGCGACGTCGCTCCAGTCGAGCCAGACCACGGTGTACCGGAAGAAGAGCTTCCTCGCCTCGCCGCCGCCGGCGAACCCTTCCTCCACCTTGCACCGGGTCTGGTCGTAGGAGCAGCGCAACCCGCCGGCGTAGTCCCCGGGGATGCCACGGCCGTCACTATGCCAGAAAACCTTATCAGTGACGCGTGTAGAGGGTCATCAGTGACGCGTAAAACACGCGTCACTATTCTTGCGTCTGTGATAAGGGCACATTAGTGACGCGTAAAAACGCGTCACTGATAGGAAACTATCCGTGACGCATATTTAGAACACGAGTCACCGATAACGCGAACATGCGTCACCGATAAATCGTAAGACGCGTCACCGATAAGGAAATAGAGTGACGCTTATTCAGAATACGCGCCACTGAAAGCGGAACACGCGTCACCGATAAATCCATATCAGCGACACGCTGTGGGAACCAGCGTCACTAATAAGTATATATCAGCGACACGTTGTGGTAACACACGCCACGAATAAGGATATATGAGTGACACATACTAAGAATATGCGTCACCGATTTGCGTCATCGATAATTTGATATCGGTGACTCATGTCTGTCTAATGTGTCACCGATAGCATATAACAAATGTACACATTGCTCATCGAAACCCCACATCGTTCACGTAAGAAATATATATATATATATATATATATATATATATATATATATATATATCATCAATATGTAACATGTTCACACGAGATAGACATCAAGTTTAACAGATTCACATTTATATCAAATGTTCACAACTTGTTCAAAATCCATCACAACTTGTTCGAAATCCATCTAAACATTGGGCTTAATTTATTTAGTCACACACTACATCACCGGACTCACACTGATAATGGCAAACACACATCACTTTGGTCATGATGGAACTCTCCTTTCTTCTCGATGACTTGTTCCACTAAGAACCTCAGCTAGCTTTTCTCTAATCATGAGCATATCGATGGGCGTCGTCAACACTTCAAATTCCTGTGTCAAGATAGAACTTTGGTAAAAAAGAAAACATGGTACAAAGACAATGTACAGGACAATATAGACAATCAATGTAAAAATCACAGTTGCTAAGCTTGATGCAAACAATCAAGGGACATAGGAACATCCGCAGATGTGGAAATTCATTAGCAAGCGAGATGGTCTTTGTGCCTATGTCTATCACCGAGTAAAATATATAGGCAACGTAAAGCATCGAGCATTCAAGCTTATGACTAAAGTAGTACTGTGCATGTTTCCATTTGAAAAGAAATCTGCAGAGTTTTCTTCTACATCAAGGGAATAGCCTACAAATGTAGTGAAATCGCATTAAGGTTTGAAATACAACTATTACTTAGAGACTTTTTTCGGACACGCATGATTTGCTTCCTTGAGACCGATTTGAAGATGTAATGCCGAGGCCACACAAACTTTTTCATCAAGACTATGAGCAATCGGCTAGTGCCACTATTACCGAATAATGATACTCAAATTGAAACACAAAGCTGGCCATCATGACAATGGCCACACTATATCCGAGTGCTAGGAAACAAATAAACAATCGAGAGAAAATAATCTGTTAGCTAGTGCATGCTCCTAATCCAATCACTAAACTACCTAGAGCATAAGGAGGTTCAAATTGCAAAAGCACAGAGCCGGCACCTGCTCCTCCACCCTCATCGAGATCACTCTCCAAAACGAAAAGACAGTAGCAATACAAATAAAGCCTCCACCTTTTCTCTTCTCTTGAGATAGAAAAAGACAGTAGCGTAACAAGTACCATGGGCTAAAAACTATACTAGGACATGACACAGTCCACACACACTCAAACAACCATGGGCCATTATATTTGCACATCCAAAATTTAGATATGAATACCTCGAGTATTCCAAGTTTGTCTTTCTCATAGCTAAAAACAAGTGGTGTGCAACATACCAAATGAGATGACTTAGCGAGAAAGATTGTTGAAGGCACTCACAAATATATATATAACACAATAATTTGAAAATGGAAGTTGAACACAATACTTAATATACTAGAGGCACAATATTGACTTTTATTTTTGGAAGCACTTACATGTGATATTTAAAAGTGTGTTTCAATGGTCGTGGTCTGTCTTTTCAGCTTGTTTGTGTGTCTTGCAAAAGCCCTACATGTAAGAGTACAACACACACATATATATGGCTCATTATGTTGGTTCAATGATATTGGCACTTATGAAACAAGTCAATAGTAGGTAAGCAAACAACTCACTCGTCAATCAACAGTTTTAGCACGCTGAAATCATGGTTTTAGATCTGTTGGAATCAAGGTATATGACCTTATTCCACTTTTGAATTATTACCACGACGATCCAATGATCACCAAATAAAGCCGCCAGAGTTGTAGGCTCTTGTCCGATGGATGGCTGAACAGCAGCGTGCTTGTTAAAGACATCGACATGCACTAGATGGCTGCTGCATTGTTTTAAACATGCAGCATGCACTAGAATTTGCTGCATAGTGCACCATCTATAATTAGCTTAAGCTCTCAACTTGTACTTGCATGCCTTTTAAATAACACTTAAAACTTAAAACTGCAGGGCTTAGCAAAGTTTGGGGCCTAATATATCTCAAACTATTGAGTGTTTGATCTATGTTCTTAAACAAAAATGATAAATCTATGATCCAAGAACCTATTTTTGGAGGCCAATTGTGTTAGCTATACACTAAATCAGCAGAAAATGGTCATAGAATAGGCAATCACTGAAATCAACACGAAATAGTGCAATCACAGAATATAAAGGCACAACATCTAACTGAACAACAAAGTTTCCAATGGCTGCAAAAAGATCGTTGATATTGCTACTTGGTCGATTCTCCTATAAGTACAAAAAGATAGAGATGCTGCGTGAAAAAGATATGCTCACCCAATTATGTAGGTCAAACGCAAAACTGCATGCTCCGATGTGTATATATCTGTAAAAAACAAAAGTTCACCAAGAATTAGTTAGCTCATTCAGAAACGGACATATCATTATACCGACTTATTCGTAGTGACCATTCCGCTAACTTATAGAGTGACCATAGGCTAGCTATCCATTTTCAGCTAATCGCAGAGTGACAAATGGTCATTCATGTGCTGAAATCACTTGAGGCAAATATATCATAATAAGTTGTCATTCAAACTTAAACCTTACTCGTAAGTCGAACAGCTAGCATCAGTACCAAGTAACAGCTCAACCTTGTTAAATAATTTGAAAAAACTCTTCTAAGTTCAATAAATAGTGAATACATGAAAAATCAAAATTTAGCAGTAGTATGTAGGTCAGAAACCAATATCGGACATCCCAATTACGGTTAATCAATCACATATAGTAGCAGTATTCATTGAAGAAAGCAAGCAAGATATTTAATCCGAGAAAGCAAGCACATTCCACACAGTATATTAATTCCATAAAGTACAAATCTTATCATAGTGCAAAAACACAGCTTAGTACAAATCCCAAAAGGCAATTTACAAATTCCTAAGTGCAAACATCTAGGAGATGGAGTAAGGTAGTTCAATGTAATAAGACCTAAAAATATTTTTTTTCAAACATAGATAGGAATAGTAAGGCACGCATCAAACATGACTCACAAGCTCGGAGATTTGGAGGAAGATTATATGCAATATCACTTTGCCTCCATGGTTATTGTTGCTCGTATAATTGGATCAGTTAAAATCGATCCATGGATAACAGTAGGAAGGGTATGATCACAAATCACAATAGCAGGTAAAGGCATGGATTTGTGGTCTTCACCATTGTTCAGGCTAGCTTGATAATCTAACCTAAACCCACCTTTGTACACCACCGGTTTGTGCACTAAAACCACAGAGGACTAAAAATCCAAATCAGGATAATCTAGAGTTTCCATGAGGACACGAGCAAATAGCAATAATGCAAGGCAACTGCGGAAAGGGGGCCTAAGAAGAGCCAAAAGTGTTCTCACCGCACGTGGAGGCGGGTTGAGGAGCAACATCTCGTTCCTGCCGCCAGCGGCCCCCGGAGAGCGTGAAGTCGGTCATCCATGGAGGGCAGGCACGCAACTTTGCTCTTAGTGTCGGCGCATCCCAAGGAAGAGTGCGAGCTCCCCATCCTTCTTCATGATGACGGCACCGAGAATCCAGCCCCTAGCCTCGCCGTCCATTACTCCCACCCGGCGCTGCATCGACGTCACTCCAACAGCACGGCCTGTGGCGTCATTAGGGTTCCAGCAAGCGAGATCTGTGGCACCGAGGAATGAGGTGATGCTTTGAATCTCCGCCTCGCTAGATCCGCCCGTCGGCTAGGGCCTCTATCTGCTCGAGCTGCCACCTCACCAGATCGTCACGAGGGCCGTGCCAGCGGCCTTTGCTCTCTGGCGGGCTGCCTCCTCACCAGATCCATCCATGGAGCCGTCGTGGTTGGGGAAGGGGGAGGTGGAGGAGGAGGGGAGGTGGAAGCGGAGGAGGAAGATGGGATGTCGCGGCGGCAAAGTAGAAGCAGTGGCGGTGGAGGAAGCGGGGAGGTGGTGACCGCTGCCCGGCCGGCGGAGTGCAGGAGGCGAGAGTTGAGAGAGAACAGGGGAAGATGAGAGAGGGGCGAGGGGACGGGCGAGGGGGGGGGGACGGGATTTCGGACTTGAGTCCTCATTTGACCATACTTGATAATTTTTTCGGGTCCGAGGGTGACGGGGGTAATTGAAACGCGTCACTCGTAAGAAGCTCCTGTTGTCAGTGACACATCTGGTTGGAAACGCGTCACCCATTTTATTTATTTGCCATAGGCGACAGCATACCAGTGACGAGTTGTGTTCACCCGCGTCGCAGATAACATATTGGTCACGCGTTTTAGATCCAAGTCACAGATTAAGGCGTCACTAATAAGCATTTCTGGCATAGTGCGTGCTCGTCCACCGTCACGTTGTACAGGTCGCACCTGCACTCGGTGCACGCTACCTTGTCCACCGTGCCCCGCGTGTCGATGGCATGCACGTTGAGCATCCACCTCTCCACGTACCCTTCCGGCGGCGCCGCCGGGTCGCCGGCCTCGACGGCGTACGGGTCGGGCAACCACGTCGCGGTGTGCGTGTCGCCCTCGCACACTCCGGCGTTCCGCGCCAGGATCGTCGCCGGCCGGGCGGTGGCGTTCTCCGCGGCGTAGTAGTACGACCGCACCACCCAGTGGCGGAGGTAGGTCTCGTGGAGGGGCACGGGGGCGCCGCGCTCGTCGACGACCTCGCCTTTGAAGCCCGCGATGTTGCCCCTCGAGAAGGCGATGTCGTGGTAGTACTTGTTCGCGACGGAGCCGGGCCGCAGGAAGAAGGGTGGGGACAGGAATGTCGCGGACTTGAGCAGGCGGCGGCGGGCCGCCGCCTCTCACGTCGAGCGCTTCCGACGATGGAAGCGGGTGGTGCCGGCCGCCTGTGGCGCCGGCGGCGGATGAGAGCGCGAGGAGCATCAGCACAAGGAGCGCCGCCGTCTTCATCTCGTCGTCGTCTTAATCTGGCAGCAGCGAACTGAGGAAATTAAAGATGAGAAGATCGAGAAGGGCGAAGAAACGTGCCATGCACATGCAGGCTCAAGTGAACTACATACTCCAGAAATGAGCTGCCGTGAAGGTCTTCTGAATAAGCTGGAGTTCTTAAGAGTGTTGCACCTTAAATAGGGACGTGTCATTAGGGTCCACGTGCACCACGTGCCGATGGCCCGATGCTTATGATTACGACAATGCTAGTTTGTGTAATTGTGTTTGGTATAATAGGGCTTTGAAGGACGCTCAAGAGGATCTCAATGTTACAGCGGAGAAATGAACTCTCAATTCCTGGAGCCCAATACATGTACATGTACAATATGCATGAAAGACCTTATAGATATGGAAATATACAAAAACACATATATCTCTAACACCTCTCCTCAAACTCAGGGTGGATCGCGAAAACTGAGTTTGGAGGGAAAGAACCGATGCTGAACTCGCGTCTGCACCTTGATGAAGAAGTCAGCCAACTAGAGCTAGTAGGGCACATAGTAAAGAGCAATGACATCATCCTGCACCTGAAAGATGATATGAACCCAAACTTAACTAAAGAGGTGACAGCAATAGCCAAGAACATGATCAATCAAAGATTCTATCCTATTTTATGCAAGTTGCTATAGCAAGAGCCAGTGTACCAACTAACAACGCTGCTTCCTGCCGAGTGCTGACTGAGATTTGTTGGACACAAAAAGAAGCATCCATCATTAACATTAATGGACAAAGCTCAGGAATTAGTATCCTACAACGAGGGAGGTCTGCAAATACTAATAATATGTAGCAAACGTTGCTTTCCACATGCCAAAATAAATACTGAATGTGTGTAATTCAACTGTTAGTTTACAATAAGGGGTCGTTTGGATCCTTTCATCTGTAGGAATTGAAATCTACTTAATAAATTAAACTACATGGCTTGGGATTTAACATTCCATCGCTTTCTAAAGTTCACATATAAGTCTATCTCAAATTCATAAGGTGGGAGATAGAAATTGATTCTATAGATCACCATTGTATGTTTTTATTTTGCAACTTATAACACGCTCTTCAACTCGCTCCCATACGATAGAAATGCAACACATTAGTATCTCTTTCGTATAGCCAACAATAATATACCAATATAATCCATATACAACCATATTAGTTTAATTAATACGTGTCTAAATTATGATTATTAAAATGAATTCAATTCCAAAGATCCAAACGGTGCCTAATTGTTTTGAGCGACCAAAACTTATGCACAGGACAACATGATGTCTGAAAGCAAGGTATAAATGTATACAATAGGACAAGGAACAATTGATGACCCAGAATATGGAAATACGGACACCTACTGGTGGGCCTAAAGGTGTTGAGTACGGTCAGAAAAATATACAGAGAGAGAGAGAGAGGAAGAATTGTAATGTCACATTTGCAAAGGGATGGAGCTACTATACACTCCATCTGTTCCAAATTATAAGACATTTTGGTTTTTCGAGATTCATGATTTTTGCTATGCACCTAGATACATGTATTATGTCTAGATACATAGTAAAAGCTATGAATCTAAAAATGTCAACAAGTATATTTTGAAGAAGTCATAATCAACGTATGCGCACTACTGTTCTTGTACATATCATCGCCTTGTGGCGTGCAAGAATCAATCAGAGTGCCTGATCAACCATGCGGCGGACCTCTTGACGTCGGAGGGCGCGGCTCCCCGGCAGCCTCTCCTCCCGCCTCCGACTACGCGGCCTCGTCGTTGCCGTCCCGACGCTGCCTCTCCTGTCTGCCGGCTGTCCGAGTTCGTCTATGGCGTAGAGAACAAGAGTTAGGATGACATAATCTCACATGACATTTACTATTAGAATGTAATTGGGTAATTGGGTGATCTATTTTAGATAGTATTGCTGAAAGCAAAGAGTCCAGTAGTACAACCGCTAAAAAACACTCACTCAAGGTACCCCAAATTGTAGTGAGAAAAATAATTTGTATTATTATGTCCCACATTTAATAAATTCAAATTTTTAGTATGAAATTGTATGTATTTTGTAATTGACGATTTAAAAAAAAGACCCAAAATTTCCAACACGTCTAGAATCACAGGAAAACTGCAAACAAAAATAGTGAAAATTAGCTTGTTAGGAGCCCATCCAAGATTGTTGTAGACCCAACGAATTAGTAGTTCCCAACCACAGGTGGAGTGAAATCCAACAAAAAAAAAAATCAATTTTGCTTCTAGGCAAATCTTTTTTCTTTTACCCCTCCGTATCCTAAAAAATGTCGTTTAAGAGAATTGACCAAAGGAGCCTAAAGATGGTCGTTTTCCGTTCTCCTGTGTTATTTGGACTGATATACCCCTGCGCCCATCCAACGCCTCGTTTCTCCAGCACGCTTCATAACGCCGGCCTTTACTCCGTAGTCCGTACGCATGCTCCCGAGGGCCGGGGCAGTGCGTAACGTTCCACTTGCCGTCCTCAAAAGCATGCTCCCGTACAGGTTGCCTGCTCACCTCCGCCATTGCTGGTTGAGAAGCTATGGAGCCCAAGAAGCAGCAGTGCGACGACCCCGCTGAGGAGGACGAGCGTGTCGGCATCGTGGAGAATGAGCAGGTTGACGGCATCGTTGAGGAGGACGAGCACGACGGCGTCGTGGAGAAGGAGGAGCAAGGCGACGGTGTCATTGAGGAAGGAGCACGCGATGGCATCGTGAAGGAGCAGGCCGACGGCGTTGTGGAGAAGATCGATCATGGCGACGGCGTCGTGGAGAAGGAGAAGGCCGATGGCCTCGTGGAGAAGATCGATCATGGCGACGGCGCCGCGGTCGAGTGCACCAACACCACGGACGTGCGTGTGCCCAAGAGGCAGCGCCCAACAGAGAGACCATGCCTTCGCTGCGGTCTCGTGCACAGCAAGTACAAGCTCGCTGCTTGGATCATGGATGGACTTGACGAATTTGTATAGGCTCGAAGGTCCAGTCAATTCCACTGTCATGTGCAGGCAAGTTCAAATCATAGCCCACACAAAGGAAAAATGATTAGGAAAGCAAACATTTCAGAATGTAGAAAAAAGAAGGAAGAATCGATACCTATGGATTCTTCTAATGGTGGCTCCAAATTCAGGCCATGCAAAATTGCAAAAAAACGCCCAAAGATGCAAAAAAAAAAAAACTTAAGCCGTATAGGAATCGAACTCGCGCTAGATGGCTCTAAGCCTTGCGACCCTACCACTTAGGACAAACTTGTTTAGAAGGCGCACGCGATCATATTTGATAGGGGCATAACAGGTAAACTACACCCTATTTAATCATACCTTGATATGTGAGATGATGTCTAAAACGACATTTTTTAGGGACATGAAGAGAGTTATCTTTTAATCTTTTAAGATTTAAATTTAATTTGTTTGGAGGGAGTATCTTTCAATAATCTTTTATCTTTTAAGATTTAAATTTAATTTGTTTGGGGTGCGCCAGGCCCAAGCAATAGTGCAACGCTAGGACAACACATGAGAACATTGATAGCAAGCTACTATATTAGATTCTTCCCTAAAAAAATAAATTTAATATCATTGTGGGCACGTGTCCCACTGCATCAGATATTAAACTAATAAGAACAAATACTACGCTTTATCTTTTCAAAAGACCGAGAAAGGTACACACGCCTCACCAGCTCTATACTTGTCACCCTGCGATGTGGTACTATAATACTATTCCTCAGCTGAATAGCTGGTGTTAATCGCGATTTGAGGTTCACAATGCCAGGGTTCATTAAGATCATAATATCCTTGTGCTGGGCTTGATGGTCCTCGGCCTTCACTGACTGTTCATCAATGGGCCCAAGTCCAGAACACGCAGCTGGCTAACGAAGGCCCAACGCCGAACCACTGGATTGGCTTTGCGGCCTTATCCAGGAAGGGACAACGAGGCCTTGAAGCTGCTCAGCCTCCTCGGCAGGAAATGTTCCGGTTCGGACCGGAAGAGCGAGCCGATGGCTTCCCGCGCGACGATTCCCGCGCCAAAGTTTCACCCGCACCTCGCTTTTTCCCGCGCGATGAATGTACGGACGAGAGCCGCTGCGGCCCACTTGCGCGATGCTTTTCCCCAGCGTAGGATGTACCTATGTTTTCTTTTCTTTTTATTTTATTTTATTTTACTTTACTTTTCTTTCCTCGTTTTCTTTTCTTTTTTCTTTTTCTTCTATTCTTTGTAGATGGCGTAATTTTATTATTTTTTTCTTAACTCTTGGCTGTAACGTTAGTTTCTTTTTCTATTTCTTATATTTCATTTTCCTTTTTATTTTCCTTTTCTTTTTTTTCTTTTTTTTTCCTTTTTCTTATTATTTTTTGATGTTCGCGTGATGTTCCATATTTATCTTTTCTTTTCTTTTATCTTTTCTTTTCTTTTTTATTTATTTTCTTTGTTTCTTCTAATTATGTTTTCTTTAATTCATGTTTTTATTTTTAATCTTTCTTTATTTTTTCTTTTACTTTTCTTTTTCATTTTTCTTGTCATGAAACATTCATTTTTTGTTTTTGTTTTTGTTTTATGTCTTTATTATTTTATTCATTTTTTAATATTTTTTTACCTTTCTTTTATCTCTTTTTCTTATTTTTCTTTTCTTATTATTTTTTTATGATGCTCTATGTTGTTTTTTATATTCATGTAGTATACAAGTAATGTTCTATGTTTTTTTATGTTGGGAGAACAGGAAGGACCTACACATGGTTTTTATTGACTTGAAGAAGGCTTATGATAAAATACCAATGAATGTTATGTGGTGGACTTTGGACAAAAATAAAGTCCCAACGAAGTACGTCGGACTCATTAAGGACATATACAACAATATTGTGACTAGTGTTCGAACAAGTGATGGAGACACGGATGACTTCCCAATTAGGATAGGACTACATCAAGGATCAGATTTGAGCCCTTATCTGTTTGCCTTAGTGATGGATGAGGTCATAAGGGACATACAAGGGGAC